ATATAGATGATTGTTTTCTGGATGATGGGAATACCACTTGACAAAGACTGTTTTAAAAGTCCGTTTAAAGTTGTCTTTGAGTTCACCTCAGTTCAATGAATGTTTCCTGAATGACAGTAGGGAAGTGATAGGAGGTTGGGAGTGGGCAGCCTTAGGGAAAGTTGCTGATCCCCCATATGCTGAACGATAAGTTCTTCCCCAGCTAAAAAGGCAGTAATTCCTCTTTTCTTTCAAAATATAAAGATTAGCTCTTAAATTTCAGGGCCAGAAGGAATAAATGGCAAAGCAATCAGTGACTACTTTATAATAATCCACTTGCCAATGTAGGGCTTCATAAAACTCCACACAAGGGAGAAAGTGACCTTTGCAGAACCATTTTTTGGTAACTTTACTTTTTATTTTTAAAAAGCCATTTTTGTAGTTATCTTAGCTGATGTGTATTGAATGTACTTTTGTTATCTTAAACGTCAACTCCAAGCTCATGGACTTTCCATATATAGCTTCCCTTTCTCCATAATTGGCACAAGAATGATTCTTAGTACTGAGTGTTTTCTTTCTCTGCTGGTCTCTTCTCACAGCAGTACTGGCCTTTCACCTGGTTTTGTATCTTATTTTAGTAATGGCCTTGTTCTCAGATCTTATTTTAACTATGGCTTGGGCCAGGCCTTGCTGCAAATTGCTTTCATGTGTGTGGAAGACGGAGGAAAAAGAAGAAATCAGCATAAATTAAAATAATCGTGATTTCACATGGACCTAGAAACAAAATTATGTAAAAGATACTAGAGAATAATGCCAAACTGCCTGCACCTCCCACTCATGTAAGAATTTGAAGACCAGAAAGGCTAAATGTCTTGCTAAAGTTTACAAAATATTGATTAAAATTTATCTTCTCATTATTTGCATGAAAGCAGCATATCCTAGGGAGCTATAATTTTAATACATAAAACAAATAAGCTATTCACAAGGAAGAGAAATATACCAAACTACTCACCCTAGTTATCTTTGAGAAGGCGGGGAGTGCATATTACAAATTTTTCTCTCTTATTTACTGGGTTTGTCCATGTTCAGTTATGAGCATCATTATTTTAATATCATAATGAAGGCTGTGATCATTAGAGTCAGAGCTAGAGTTGAATCTGGCCTCTACCACTTGTTAGGCTATGACTATAACTTTTGAAAAAGCTTCTTAACCTCTCTGAACTTCAATTTCTTAGACTGAAAAATAGAAGTAACAATGTATCCTTTATTGAGTTATAATAAAGGAGTTAACTGTAAGGTTCTCACATCTAATGCCTGGCCCACAAGGAGCACTTGCTAATGGTAGCCACTATCACTACTACTACTTTCACTACTGTATTATAGAACACTGGACGCTGACCTGGGGTGATCTTTATTGAATGATTTAAACATTTATCTGCTTAACAACTTGATGCTAAATTAGGGAATTTGTCAACATACCTTCCAGCTTATTTTATCTTTTTGTTAATTCAGAGAAAGCACCATGGCCATTGATTTTTACTTTACCCTATTAGAATAATACTTAACTTTGGGGTACCACAATTAGAATCTAATCCTTACTAAAATAAAAATCCTTGATCCTCTTCTATATTTTATACAAGAGAGTTTACCCTGTATTGCTAGAGAAAATCATTAACCATTGTTAAATAAAAAATCCCTATTGTTAAATATCTTGGAGCTCCCTCCCTATCCATGTGAGAAGTAGGTGCCCTTGTGACTTGAATCTGTAGTTCTTTTTAGATACCGTTGTTTTCTCTGTTTCTAGTACCTTAATACATATATAATGTGTCTCTTTTGAACAGCAATCCCATTGGCCTCCTTGTATTTCAGGATGATAACTGCCCATTTCTTAGAAGTCTTCCTCAGAGCCTCCAAAGTAAATTCCACCAATGCCATGGAGTTTCTATTCATGCCCTGGAAAATTTCAATAGAATATTCTTTGTTATTAGTGAACATCTGTATGTACAATTTCATGTGATGCAGTGCCAGAAAAGAATGTCGTTTTATTTATTTAAATATACTATTGCCAACCTACCTAGAGATCGCATAGTCATAGATTAGAAGCTCGAGGTCCTGTAATTTTTGAATTTATTGTTTGGGGCAGACCTAAATTGTTTGTCCCATTTTAGCTATTGAGTAACAGCCACAGTAAAATATATCTGAGTATTTTTCTGTACATTATTTGTAATGTTACTGTTTATAAGGATGTTGTGCTTTTCCAGTTTACAACTGAAGAAGCCTGTCATCCTCATTATTATTCATTCAACTTGAGCACCTGTTTTATCTTAGGCACTGAAGTTGCAAAGATGAATAAAACATTTTTCCTACTGTAGAATATTTCATAGTTTATTGAGGGAGAAAGATACAAAATGCACAATTATATTTCTAAGTGATACAGTCTGTATAATAAATGTATAAACAAAGTGTTACAGTCATAGAAAGGAGGGAACAATAAATTTGGGGGTGTATGGTAAGGTTACAAAGAGAAAGTGACATTTAAGTCAAGTCTTGAAGGATGGATGGGAATTTGCCATTTGGAGAGAGAGGAACAAAGGACGGGCACTACAGAGAGGGGACAGCCAATGAAAAAGCCTAAAGGCATGTGGGGCATGTAAGGAGAGTATCCTCAGTGTGCTGGAGAAAAGGCTTTGTGAAGGAAGGTCCAGTCAAAGTTAGGAGTTTGAATTTTAACCTTTGAGTAGGGGAGAACCATTGAAGATTTTTAAATTAGGGCTGATATAATCAGATTTGAGTTTGAAAACGTATAGTAGTTTGGGACTGGAGGAAGAAAGGCAGGTTACAGACACAAGAGTTGACACAAGACAAAGTTGTGGAAATAAAGAAGAGTCTCTAGATCTGCAAGAGTTTCCCTAGGTATAAACAATATAATTCTGTGATCAATATGATAGGGAAGTATGTGGGCGGTGAGGGAGGGATGGGGATCTGGTTTGGGTGACGAGGTGGGTTAGCTAAGATTAACAGAGCTGGGGAAAATGTACTGTTCATTATTTTGTTTTTGCTTGTTTTGGGGAGCAAGGTAAGAGTTTTCGTTTTGGACAAGGTAAGGTCAGTGTTTTTAGGAACATTCTAGTAAGCAAGTCTGGATCTGAATCTTGGGAGAGAGGTTATATAGTAATATTTTGAATTCTTACGGTTTGTTTTTCCATTAAAAACTAAGATTCTTGGAGGGTAACTGATCATGGTCTCAGAGAGGTGGCTGTAGAACCAAGACATAAATTCCTAAGCTCCTTACCAACTAGGCCTTAACTGAAATGGCCTTTGAAAGAAAAAATAAATCTCATGATTTCCACTATAATTGTTTCACTGTTTAATTTCCCAAAGTATCTTTACTTAAAAAAAAAACAACACAACAAAAAAATACTGGTATGTATATCTACAATCCGTTTTCTGTACTGTTTTCTGATCTTGATATTATTTGACTAATGATAAATGAAGAGTGTTGAGGATAACAGCTAAGGAGCCCCAAACCTCTTGTTTTGTTCTAGCAAAACCTTAAAATTCAAAGATTATTTGGTCCTCGGGACTTCCCTGGTGGCCCAGTGGTTAAGAATCCGCCTGCTGGGCTTCCCTGGTAGCACAGTGGTTGAGAGTCCGCCTGCCGAAGCAGGGGACACGGGTTCGTGCCCCGGTCCGGGAAGATCCCACATGCCGCGGAGTGGCTGGGCCCGTGAACCATGGCTGCTGAGCCTGCGCGTCCGGAGCCTGTGCTCCACAACGGGAGAGGCCACAACAGTGAGAGGCCCGCGTACCGGAAAAAAAAAAAAAAAGAATCCGCCTGCTGATGCAGGAGACACGGGTTCGATCCCTGGTCCGGGAAGATCCCACATGCTGCAGAGCAGCTAAGCCTGTGCGCAACAACTACTGAGCCCAAATGTCACAACTACTGAAGCCCACAGGCCTAGAGCCCATGCTCAGCAACGAGAGAAGCCACTGCAATGAGAAGCCCACACACCGCAATGAAGAGTAGCCCCAGCTCACTGCAACTAGAGAAAACCCGCGCACAACAACGAAGACCCAACACAGCCAAAAATAAATAAATTAAGTAAATTTTTTTTAAAAAGGGGGCTTCCCTGGTGGCACAGTGGTTGAGAGTCCGCCTGCCAATGCAGGGGATACAGGTTCGTGCCCCAGTCCAGGAGGATCCCACATGCCGCGGAGCGGCCGGGCCCGTGAGCCATGGCCGCTGAGCCTGTGCGTCCGGAGCCTGTGCTCTGCAACGGAAGAGGCCACAACAGTGAGAGGCCCACGTACCGCACAAAAAAAAAAAAAAGAAAGAATGAAGGTGTCATGTTCGCTTCTCTGCAGAAATTTAAAAATAAGAATTTTTTCCCCGTTTATGTTGTTGAACTATAGCCCTTCTTGAAAACCAGAGAGTAAAGCAGACAGTTCTTCAAAATCCACCCCACCCCCCAAATGTCAGGGCTCACTGAGCATTGATTAAAACTCCTAGGTGGGCGTAAAGGACTTGAGTAGGCCTAACAAGGCAAATCACCATACATATCTGATAATTTTTTTTCATATATTTAGAAAATGATTGGCTTGCCTTATCCACATGAAATTCTGGTTTTGATTGTTACTATCTAGATTCTCTGTGTGGCTTCTTGGGCTGTGGTATTTTTCCTTTACTTTGTTCTCAATTGCTGTGAAATGTAGTTGCCTGCTGTTTAAGGCAGCTGCAGTAGAGTGCATCCAGAAGTGGTTATAATTCTATATTTAGTAAGCCATAGGGTTTGTAAAGCATTTGCAAATTCCTTTGGAATAAAATGGTTTCTATAAATGTAACATTTTTAATGAAACTATTATAATCACCCATTAAAGAAATGTGGCAGCTAATACGTGTGGATTTGTGGACAAGACAGAGGCGCAGAACTTTTTTTTTTCTTAAGAGCTTACTGAATATTTTAAATACTTAAAATTAATCATGTGAATCCTGTTTTTACACTGTTAATCTTGAATTGCAGAGCTTTTACTCAAGTGTTTACCTTTGGTCCAACATTCCGAGCAGAGAATTCTCAGAGCCGGAGACACCTGGCAGAGTTTTATATGGTAGAAGCAGAGATTTCTTTTCTTGAGAGCCTTCAAGATCTCATGCAGGTAGGTACTCAAGTTTTAAAATAATTTCTAAATGTCAGGCATCTGTGACATTAAAATGCTTCTGTATACATTTTTACCTCTGACGTCTGTGCCTTACAGGTGTTCATAGAATGAAGAAGATGGAGAACTAATTAATAAACATCTACTGAATGCTGTTAGTGTAATAGTTTTTAAAGTACAGGAATCAAACAGATTTAAGTTCATGTCCAAGGTCTGCCATTAACTTTGTTATGATGTTACCTAACCTTAGTGATCTTTAGCTTCCTCAGCTATAAAATGAGAATAATAGTAGCTATTTCATTAGGTTATTGTGAGAAGTAAATGAAAGATTATGTATGTATAATGTAAAGCATCCAGTATGGGATCCGGCACAAAGCAGGCTTAGTAAATAGTAGCTCTTGATATTTGCTAGGCAAATAAACAAAACGTCTTTATAGTTAGAGAAACATGTCTATAGCTATAGTATTAGAAAGCATCCACAGGAGCTGTCAGAGCTCTGGGACAGGGATGAAGCTGGAGATATAGTCAAGAGTCAGCTCATGAAAGAAAGACTGTATTTAAATGCCCTGCTGAGGAGTTTGAACTTAATCCAAAAGATAAAGGAGAAAGTTCTCAGCTGGGAAAGGCCATGGTCAGAGTTATATTTTAGAAGTATCTCTCTAGCAGCATTATGAAAAATGATTTAGAGGGAGATAAAAATAGGGGTGGGAGCCTTTTCAGGAGGCTGTGGCCATAAATCCATATAGAGCACACAAGTCTGGAGATGGATGGACCAGGATTTGATTATTAGCTCAATCACTTACTGGCTATGTGACCTAAGACATGGGACTTAATTTCTCTGAACCTCAGTTTTCTTATCTATAAAATGGGAATAATAATTCCTATTTCATATATTAATTCATAGGATTACAGAGATAATATATATAAGGTGCTTAGCATAATTCATGACACTTAGTAAGTACCCAGAATGTGTTAACTGTTGTTATGAATTCTCTATCCACTACCATTTTGGTTAAGATCTTAGTTTGGAATTCTAATTACAGGATGTTTATTTTAGCAGTTTTCATCAACTCTTACTTCTTTCATTCTACTCTTATTCACCCAGTAAATGACCCAATTCCACTTAAAACAGAAATACCATGTATACTCCCAAATAGAATGGAGTCACAATTTTATTATCCTGTCTTAGGTTGGATTTCCTAGAAAATAAACCCTAAAGCAGAGATTTGTGTGCAGGTATTACTGGGGAATGCTCTCAAGAGAAATACCTGTGAGGAAAGGAAGAAAGCAGCATTGGGCAGAGGGACAAGTTAAACTGTGCTGCATTTACAAACAGATGCCTTAGCCAATTCCCTGAGAAACTTTGGAGCTAGAATGGTCTTTCATAGTTGTCCCATAGGAGGGCAAGTGCCTCCTCCTGTGAGCCAGTCATTGGATGCGGGCTAGATGGGAAGGGGTTGTAACCTTGGGTAAGGCAGTCCTCCTGGCCTGGGCAGTTCCTGAAGAGGGACCCAACTATGTACCATCAGCAGTTACTGTTCCTAGCGGATAAAGATCTTGGTCCTAAAGGGATGTTGTGGCCACACACCACAGTGTCCACTTGCATATACCCCTTTAACATCTCCCACCGATTTCTCTAGACCAGTGTCCCGAAGGGGATATTTTTGGTGTCCCTACTAGGGAGTGGGTGGGGGAGTAGGGAAGACGGGTTGCTACTGGCATCTAGTGGGTAAAGGCTAGGGATGTTGTTCAGTATCCTGCAATGCACAGCCCCCTCCCCGCCAGCGAAGAATTATCTGGCCAAAAATGTCAATAGGAACACTGTTGAGTTAATCCCTTTCTAGATTTAGGGATTCAGAATCTGAGCCTTACCAAGTCAGTAAAATTCCTTAATCAGCTTTCAATTCGAGCTCACCACCCAATTCTTTTTTTTTTTTTTTTTTCACCCAATTCATTATTATTCTTTCACTCAGGCAATGAGAGTATTGTAAAGAATGGAACCACACGTTTTACCTCCTATTTCTGCCTTGTCCCTGTCTCCGCTGCCCAATATAATACCAGAGGGAAAGATTATAAAGATAATACATTGTTAGAATTTATTAAACATTATAATCTTTGCTCTATAATTATGTATTCTGTAACTGAATAATTCTTATTTATTTGGTCGTCCACTGAGTGGTTCTCAGGGCATACACTATTGAATAGTTTAATTAATTGGAATATAAACTTCTTCCTAAAGACAGAAGAAAAAGGTATATTCTTTCCAAAAATAAACTCCTACTTCTCTCAGTGTTCTCCCTTTGATAAATTGAATTCTGTGGAAATTATTATCTTGATGAAGAGCAGTCTCTTAAATACAAAATCAGAATATTATAACAGGATATTTTCCTCTTATGACGTATAAGCAATTAAATATTATTATTTTAATACTATTGAGAAATATATATTTTAAAACATGAGGGTTATGTTAACCCTTCAGTTAAGTTTCTGTTTTATTATAAATATATTTATAGAGTGTAGTCTGAAAGTCAAGGTTAGAAAAGCCAGTGATATCCTTCTTCAAATGGAAATGTTCTGCCCTTGAAAGACACTGCTTTAACAGCCCCAGCTGTTGAAGTCTTCATCTTACCGATTGTGTATTGTGTCCCTCAACAATGCAAGCATACTATCCAATCTACCTGTTCTTTTTTCCTCTCAATATACATTGGCTTTTTGCAGTGATTGAGGGATATAACGCTTCATAAATCATTCAGTTACTTAGTGATTTCTTTATCTCACTGCTAGATTGAAGGTGGTTATAGCCTCAAGGCAAAACATCTTTAGCCTCCTTTTGCTCTTCTTTCATCAAGTTATTCCTTACTTCTCTACAAAATATATGTATAATATAAAAATGCAAAGTATATATAAAAAGAAATGAAAAATATTTTATATATGTACATAAATCTATCTGGTTGTCACTTGATAATTAAGTTCTTTCCTATATCTGACCATGTTAAATTACTCAGACGCTTATGCCCCACTGTGTTTCCAGTGTTGGTAGGGTGTCCAGTGATTCAGAGAGGAAAGGAAGATACCTGCCTGTGGGGCAGCCTGGTCTTAATTCATGTATGTGTCTTTATGAGGACATATCTGAAAATCACAATATGATTTCATTGACATCAAAACAAAAATTTTAGTTTGGATTAAAAATATTTTAGAAATATTTTTCATTCCAGTCACTTTTTTCTTCTGAGAACAAGTTTTTCCCATGAGACTTTTATGGACACCCCTGGTAGAACGAATTCTTATACGCTGATTTGTGTCGTTACTTTATACTTTAGCAAAGCAAAAATGTATGTATTTAGGTGTAGATAGATCTCATTGCTTCTCTAATCTTAAAGTTTACTTTCATTTACCAATGACTGAATGAAGCACTTTTCAAAACGTTCCACTCTTCACAACTGATGTTTGTTGCATGCTTCTCTGATCTGGGCACTAAGCTAAGTCTTATACATGGATTATCTCATATAATTCTTACAACAATCCTGTAAGCTAGGTACTGTTAACTGTCCTGACTCTACAAGTGAATATACTGAAATTTAGAGAGGCATCAGTTTGTTTTAGCTGTTCATTTGACAGCCCACTTCAATACCAGTATTGAAACTGTTAACAGAAGGTTCAGACATGGTTCTTTCTTTTTTTTTTTTAACCTTCTCTGAGAAGTTGTGATGCCCCCTCTAATCAATATGGAAACTGAATTAACTTGATGTAGTATATTCAGGAAGTAAGAGGCCTAATGGATTTATAGCCATTGAAACCTGGAGAGCAGTCCTTACAGGGCCCTAAACAGGTTTTTCATGAAGCTTACATGTCAGGCAATTCTGTATCATTTCTCTTAGGTTATGGAGGGCCTCTTCAAGACTACAACAATGACAGTTCTCTCAAATTGTCCTGAAGATGTTGAACTCTGTCATAAATTCATAGCTCCTGGCCAAAAGGTAATTAGCTTTGTGGATGAAGCCCTGTAAATATGTTAATTACATGTAAGGAATATAATTACATTTAATAAATTTTCTTTTTTCTCTTTTCTTACCAAGGACAGATTAGAACATATGCTAAAAAACAACTTTCTAATGTAAGTAGATTTATACTTTCTCTGAACTTTATTCATAATTTATCATCGTATTTATCACACTGTATTAAATTTTTTGTTTGTATATCTGCTTATCACACTCCCTAGACTCAAGGGAAACCCGTATTTTAATTATTTTTATAGCTCTTATGTCTGGTTCATCGTTGATAATCAGTGTTTCATGAATAAATAAATGAATAAATCATAGCAAGATAATGTTCATAGTAATTATTAACTATATTCCTACAATTCAGACTAATTCGTTAGTAATCAAAATCTGGCTTGATTAAAAAACATGCTTTTAAGATAGGTACATGTAATGTCTGCCCTCTATTTTTCTCTTATTTCAGTCTTCCTTCTTTTTCTTTACCTTCGCTTGCTAAAATCTGAAAATATATTCTGAATTGTTTTTTTAGCCACTATTTTAAAACCTAAAGATCTGTGTTTTAAATATAGCACATACATTATTGCTTCATTTCCACTATAATCCTGTTCAAGTAGAACTTGTTATTGGACTGGTGGTTTATTCAACCAACCATATTAATCAGATAGGCTATTCTTTTCACAGTTTATTCAACCAACCATATTAATCAGATAGGCTATTCTTTTCACAGTTTATTATGAAACACATACTTGATATGGAAAAAACAACAAGCAACTTCTTATATGCAGTACAAATAATTCATATAAGACTTAGTATTCAGGGTATTTACAATGTGTAGAGGAAGTAAGTTTGATAATCTGAAGAAAAGAAAATTGTCTCTGAACATAAGTTAGTATCATTTTTCCCTTGCTATCTTAAGTTTAGGAAGTTTTTCTTCTAAGAGAATAAAGAATTCAACCTGTCCTTGAGAAGGGGAATAAGAAAAACTTGGCAGACTTAGCTGAGAATATCAGGTATCAGCCTAGACCTTCAGGCTACCAGTTAAAAATGATGAGTCGTTGAGCCTGACCCAATAACAAGGCAGCAGCTGTGGGATCAGAAAAGGAGGAAATAGGAGCCCCGTGATAGAGAATCGAAGGGCAATGAAGTACAAGTGAAGGCTTTTGAAACTTTTCCTTTCACTTAAATGTATATTGAATGTTTACTATGTGCCAGGCATTGTCCTAAAATCTAAAAACTGTTTAAAAACAGTGGACAAAGCAGATAAAATTCCATGCCTTCACTGAGCTTATATTTCTGGTGGAGGTAATAATAGCCAAGAGACAAGATAAATAAGTGAAACGTATAGTCTGTGAAAATGAGTAATACTTATGGGGAAAAAAACCAGAGAAGAGAAAGAAGATAAGCCAAAGGAAGAATGAGGAGGTAGAAATTTTAGATAGCACGGCAGGGAAGATCTCACGGCAGGGAAGATCTCACTGAGATGATTTTTGAGTAAAGATCTCAAGAAAGTAAAGTAAGAGAACTAGTTATATGGGTAAGTGGGAAAAGAATATTCCAGGCAGAGGGAATAACAAGTACAAAGACCCTGAGGTTGGAGCATGCCTGACATGTTCAAGTAATAGTGAAGAGTGAGTAAGGGAAGAGGATACGAAGATAAAGTAAGAAAGGATGAGGGAGGTAGGGAAATCAGGTGGGGCCTTGTAGGGCACTGTGAAGAGTTTGGATTTTTACTTGGGTGAGGTGGGAAAGCTGTTGAAGGGTACTGTGCAGAGATCTGAGAAGATCTCAATTGGATTTAATAGGATCGCTCTGGCTATCTGTTGAGAATTGGCTGTAGTAGGACAAGAGTGAGAGCAGCAAAGCAAGTAGGAGATCGTTACAGTCACCTAGGTGCAAGTAGGTGGTGGTTTGAACCTTGTATAAGTCAGGGTTCTCCAGAGAAACAAGACCAACGCGATGTGTGTATATAAAGATTTATTTTAAGGAATTAGCTCACACAATTGTAGAGGCTGGGCAAGTTAAAAATCTGTTGGAGTGGTCCAGCAGGCTGGAGACTCAAGGAAGAGCCAAGTCAAAGGCAGTCTGCTGGTAGATTCCTTCTTTCTTGGAGGAGGCCAGTCTTTGTTCTAGCAAGGCCTTCAACTGGTTGGATGTTGTTATGGAGGGCAATCTTCTTTACTCAGGATCCACTGATTTAAATGTTAACCTCATCCAAAAAAACACCATCTCAGAAATATCCTGAATGTTTGACCAAATATCTGAGTACTGTAGCCCAGCCAACTTTATACATAAAATTAACCGTCACAGACCAGGATGGTAACAATGGAGGTAGGTGAAATTGTCCTATTCTGGATATATTTTAAAGATACAGAAAACAGGATTTACTGAGAGTGAAAAAGAGAGAGAAGGAGAGTTAAGAGTGACTTCAAGCCTTTTGACTTACACAGCTATAGAAATGGAGTTGCTATTAACAGAGATGGGGGAAGCCATAGAATATTGGGGGTGTGTGGAGAGAGAGAGAGGGGTGATATCAGGCTCATCATCATGAGGTGTCATGTTAAGATTGAGATACTTTTCAGACGTCCAGTTAGATGTTGGGTAGGCAGTTTGAGTGTATGGGCCTGGAGTCTACAGGAGAGTTATGGACATAAGCATATTGATAAAAGTTGTAATTAAGTAGGTAAGGAAAGAAGTAAGTTAGGCATCCCAAGGAATCTGTACTGGTAACAGAGAACTAGGGAGATCTTAAGAGAAGTTATCCAGCTTCTGTCTAATAAATATCCACCATTTATTGAATATTTACTATGTGCCAGACAGCGATAAACTTTAAATACATTGTATTTCATTGTACCTTCACCACAACTCTGTGAGTAGTTATTGTTGCCCTGCTGTAGATGAAGAATCAACTCAGAAGATATTAGGTGAGTAAAAGGTGAAGTGGGGATTCAAACTCATGGTCATCTGATTTCAAAGCTCATGCTTTCAGCCAGTGTACTTCCTATATCTGAAAGGGCACTGGAATTAATGCTAGAGTAGTTGTAGCTCCCCACTATCTTTATGACCCTTATGTATCATCTAACTGTTGTGCTTCAGAATCCATGTCTGTAAAATACTCAGGATGGGAACATGGGCTGTGCCATATCAGTCATTGCTATCACCATCATCCATTCCACACAGCACGAATCATAGTTGTACATTAAATTTATATGTGTGATGTTTTTTTTTTTTGGTGTCGTCACCTCCGCATGGTCAGAGGCTTGTTTGTTTTACTTATGCACTGAGTATAGTGAACTGTGTTTCAGAGGACCTGGATTCTAGTCCTGCCTCTACCACTTATTAGCCATTAATGGGTGAATTCATATTTTTCAACAAATATTTATTGACTACCTTCTATGAGTTAGGCACTGTTCTAGTCATTGAGGATTCAGTAGTGAAAATAGGCACGGATTAGTCCTTTTATGGAGTTTAGCATCTAGAGAAAAAGATGAATAGTTAAATATTTGCATGAATAATTATTTAATTACAACTACGAATTTGACTAATAGTAAATCTTTAACCTTTCTGAGCTTCAGTTTTCTCATCTATGAAGTGATAACTTGTCTGTCTTATTTTGTTGAAATGTTCAAATGCTGCTTAAGCAATATGTCAAAGACTAGATAACATGAAAACCCTCCTGCTACAAAACATCTAAAAATGCTAGTTAAAATATTATTAAATCCTTTTAAATGCATTGTTGAGTTCACTAGAATATATGAGAAGCTCCAGGAGCTAGAAACAGAGGGGACTGAACACCAGAGGGTGTACGTAAATTACATGATGCTGAGAATTCTCAGGGTGGAGGGTACCAGAGATGGAGGGGGTTTGTAGACTTTGAAACCAAAGATTTTAAAAGCCATGAGAGAATATGAGAGTAGACCTAAGCATGATGAATTAGAATCAAGATGCACCCCGAAATACACATGCATACATGTCCACACCCACACGCAAGATACCATATGACTTGTATTCTTTTGAATAGATTTCAGTGTTCTTGAGTACTTGTTATAATTGTTTTATATGAAAGTATATTATTTAAAGGACTTGTGTAGTCTTTGAATTTAGCCTTTATCAAGCAGAAGTAGAACACACTTATTTTACATTTCCTTTATAGTATTAAGGCTTTAAAAATATAGAGTACTTACCTTTTTATTTGCTCGGCATTTATTTGTGTGAATTTGAGGCAAAGAATGCTAATAATAATCTCTGTAACTTAGCAGTTGTACTCCAACAGTTTCAGAATAATTTTCTTCATTCAACAACAGAAAATTTGAAATATGAAGGTAGTTTGATATTGTATCACACAATATCACAATATCTTCTTCTTTCCTCAAAGCACTTTGGAAATAGTTTCTGGGAAGGAGAAGAAATATTATTCCCTGTACATACCAAGAAAAGTTAGTAGAGAGTTGACGAAGGCCATTAAGGATATCCAGTGTCAGGACTGTAATTTGAACTTGAAAGTTCTGCCTCAACTTAAGGTATGGGAGGAGTGTGGGGCAGAACATCTAGAATAACAAGAGATATTTAGACATGAGAGTCCTTTTTTTCTTAATAATGTAACTAACATATCAATGGCACAAAATTCTAGTGCTTCCCATTTTGACTGCTCTTATATTTCTCAGTATAATGAGTAGATCATATCAAGTAATTGATAGAATAGAACAATAGAATTTCTAAGCAGACAAGAGCTTAATATAGCCCAGTCTCCTTATTTTATAAGTACAAATACTTAATTTTTTAATGTTTGTATTTTTAGAGTTTTGTATAAAATACAAAAATTTATAAAATGCTTTCATTGAGGTGAAGTGATTTACATAGTTACTAAGTGGTAGAGTCAAAGGGAGAACCCAGAGCCCATTATCTTTTATTTTGATAGAACATATGAAACTCCAAGTGGTTTAGGCATTATCTCAGCAGTTAAGAGCTTAGACTCTGGAGTCAGCACATCAAGGTTTACTTCTTACTTACATGAGTGATTTTTGGCAAGTTATTGATCCTCTCTAAGCTTCAGTTTCCCTTCTGTGAAATGCTCATTTAAAAATTATTACTACTATCAACACCAACACCATTCTTACCTTAGAAATTATCTGTTATTTAATACTAGATTTTAGTTTGAATAGAATTTCCATCTTCTAAAAAACCTATCACTCAAAACATAGCTTTGGGGGCTTTATTTGTACTCTATGACACAACTCTTTCCAGTTAGTTATTATAGATATGAACTTCATTTTTGCTTCAGAGAATAAGTTTGTTAGGTTATTTTTTAACTCAGAGTCCTTCAGAAAGTTTGTAGATTTTTGTTTTTAATCATGCAGAATACTGTTGCAGAGAACATAGAGAAACTGACATTTTCATATACTATTGGTGGGCATACATTGGAAAAACCCTGTAAAAGGGGAACGATATCTTTGGTGGTGTCTTTCAAAATTATGAAAACTGCAAATGCAAATACTCTTGAATCCAACAGTTCCATTTTTTCCATGTGCAAAATCAGTATGAGCATAAATTAGGTATATGTAGTCATGATTTATAATAGCAGAAGATTGGAAACAGCTGAAATATCCATCGATAGATGACTGGTTAAACTAATTAGGATACATCCACAAAGTGGAATGTTATGTAATAGCTCAAAAAGTGAAGAAGTTCTTCATATACTGCTATGTAAAGATCTGCAAGGTATATTATTGAGTAAGAAAAGTGTAAAAGAGTGCATATGATATGTATGCTATGGCTGCCATCTATAAAAAAGGGGAGATTGAGTATTAATATTTGCTTATAGATGCATGAAACCCTCTGGAAGGATACACAAGAAACCAATAACAGTAATTGTGTGTGAGGAGAGGAACTAGGTAGCTATGGGACAGGGATGGAAGGAAGGTGTATACTCTTTTATTCCCCTTGATTTTTTTTTAAAAACTATGTGCATATATCACCTATCCAAACTGTTAAAACAAATTCTTGGTTTGGCTTGCGTTAGGCATGATGGTTTCTTACTGAGGTAACCAAAAATGATATTTTTCCTAAACAGTCGTACAATACTAGAATATATTTAAAAAGCCTTACGATGGCCTGAAAGAGTTCATAGGATCTGACCTCTGACTACCTTTCCAATCTAATTTTCTGGCATTCTTCTCCTTGTTCAACATGCTTCAGTTACACTGAATTTTTTGTTCCTTGAATGAGCCAAACTGTTCCTCACTTCAGGCTTTTGTACTCACTGTTCCTTTTACCTGGAATACTTTCCCTTAGGTATTTATATGGCTCATTTCCTGACTTCATGCAGGTTTCTGTTCAAACGTCACCATTCAGCAAGGCCTTTCTTGACCATCTTATCTAAAATAGCACCCCCCAAATACCTTCTGTCTTTTTATCTTGCCTTGTTTTTCTTCATAGCACCAATAGCTCCCTGGCTTATTTCTGTTTATTTGTTTATCTTTCTTATCCCCATTGTGCGTGTACATACACACACACAAACACACACACACATAGCCACACACATACACAGACACACACACACACGGATAGCAACTCCATAAGGCAGGGGCTTTGTTTTTATTTACTGTATCTCCAGTGCCTAGAATGATACCTAGCACATAGTAAGTGCTCAGTATATGCTGGATGAATGAATGACAGCTTTAGGGAGAGAGTTTTGCTCTTTTAGCCTCAGTATTTCACACCTTTTAGGGCATTAGCATAACATGAATTCAGAGAAAATCTTTATTCGCTTAAGTGACTAGCTTCTCTGTGTACACTGCAAGTGGATCAGGAGTGGGATTATTGAATGGCCATTTCTCTTCATGCTGATCAGACTTTCATAGGTCAACCTTAATTCCTGATTACTCAATAATCGTTTTTACAATCATTTGATACTCAGATATGATCTCAAAGACTGTATGAGAATAGGTCTTTCACAGTTTTCAGATGCACCAGTTAACAACAGCCATTAACCTTTCTCTGCTTTTACCCTGTTTCTCTCCAGCATTTCTTATACTGAGGCAGTGGAGATCTTAAAGCAGGCATCCCAGAACTTCACCTTCACTCCAGAGGTAGTATTTATATATATATATGTATGTATGTATGAAAATATGTTTCTCATATTTATCTGATTTCATTAAGAATCCTTTAAAATAACCTTATTTCTCTTACTAGCAGTGTGTATGTAGTATTTGCATATCTGTACATTGGCTTTTTTTGATGTTTGCCTAACCTCACTGAAATATTTAGAATGAAAAATAATTTTGAAGTAGAATCATATCATTTGGAATAGCAGTGACAAAAGGGTTATAAAGAAGTTTCCCAAGTTTAGGAAGATGAAATTCCTTAGAAAGAATGGTAATCGTAGAATATCAGTGTAGAAATCAACTAGTTCAGTGTTTCCCAAAGTATGTTCTGAATGATGTCAACAGTTGACAGGCAGAAGAGGTTATGTGATCAAATAAGTTTAGGCAACACATTAAACACGTTTCTTTTTCCGTTGAACTTTATAGAGGCTTCTGATTTGTGATCCACTTTGAAAAACACTGAGCTTTGTGTGTTTTTGTTTTTTCCCAGAACTCCTTTATTTTATGGGTAAGGATATAGGTCTGGAAAAGCCACATGATTTATCAGTGGACATGCACATAATGCACATAATTCCTATGCCAGTGCTTCTTTCCTATAATTAAGATATTGCCAGACAAGTGGGAATAGTAAGATAATGTTAAGAATCTAATACCTTTGTCTTCAAACTATTCCTTACACCAGTTCCATTCCCAGTTAAGTCAGATGCTCTCTTTAAGTTACGAGTGCCCTGTGCTTGTTATATTTATAATCAACTGACTTCTTTGTATAATTTTTTGTTTAATGTTTGTCTCCCATCCTGGAAGCTTCATGAACTCAGGGATTTTGTGTTTCTTACCAGTTTCCAGTACCTAGCATGGTACTTGGGGTTTAATAGGCACATTAGTATTTGCTGAATAAATAGATTAACAGTATTATTAAATATTCATCAGAGAGCATCTGATATACTAGTTGACTCTTTTATCAAAAAAAAAAAAATAGTCACTGGGAGAAGCCATCTAGCCAGAGATAGACTCAATATTAGGAATATTATCTTTCATCATTTAATTTCCTGAAACTTAGGGACAGTAACTGTAGAAGAAGCTCTTGGCAATATTAATAAAAATTATGATTCTGAATCAGCTTTTATACACCATGGAAAGCATACTGTGTTTTACTACAGATGCTGTTTATCTGCTAAATGCTGCTCCCTGAGATGGGGCACAGAAAGCGTAGTGTTTACTAGTTTCAGCTTTCATCATGCCAGGCCTTTGGATGCTCTTGTTAACACATCTCTCTCTAGTTTATTTATCTGTGTAACCTCAGCAGACAGCTCCACACATCCCTGATCCTCAGGGAGAAGAAGCCCTTGGCACTGATACAGGTTATTTTTAGGTCCTGCATTATATCTTTCAGCTCTGTCTTCTCCTTTGGTAATTTCTTTTTTCTCATTACAGTGGGGTGCTGATCTACACACTGAACATGAAAAGTACCTGGTGAAGCACTGTGGCGACATACCAGTCTTTGTCATTAATTATCCATTAGCACTCAAGCCCTTCTACATGAGGGATAATGAAGACAGCCCTCAGCACACAGTAAGAAAAGACATTAAATAAATTGGGGTTAGTCATCTCAGAGCCTGCAGTTTTTCCCTTGATTTAATTTCATTTATCCTTTGGTATATTTTCTTAAATTATATCATTCACTCTTTATATTTCTTAAAATGATAACATTTCTCAAAGGCACCTCTAAAAATGTGTTCCCAAAGAAGATCCCAATGTTCTATAAGCATACTCCCTCATTTCTATCGTAGGGTGTCCTCTACGTCCTCTATGTCCAGTTAAGCAGATGCAAATGGAAGTGTGTTTTGTTTTGTTTTTTTAAATTACTGAGAGCCCTAGAGCGCTGTAGAGCAATGGGCCCGGTCTCCTATCAAATACTGATTAGGAGACTGCAGTGTGGGGGAGATGTTGGGCAAGAGATAATAGTAGTGGCATGATCGGGCAAAGGAAGAGCTAGCTTGGAACAGCAGGCAGCCTAGAGTACTTTGGCTATCAAATAGAAGTAGTGAGGGGAAGGCTATGGAGGGATCGAAGAGGTCTGGGCGGATTCTCCACTTGGTCAGTCCTCTTCTGACCGTCTCTTCTCTCTCTGCCTGTCTTATCTCTTGTCTGTCTGTCTGTCTGTCTGCCTGCTCTCTTTAGCCTTTCTTGTCCTCTGTTCTCTCTTTACCCCTCAACTACAGTTGGTTTTTATTCTTCTTGTTTACTTTTTCCTTTTTTCTTTTTTGTCTCTTCTCTCCTTCACAAAATTGGCAGTAATATAGAATAAGAATATATTTGACTCTTTAAATATGTATTGGATAGTCATATATTTAATATCATTAATTGTAAAAGTCTGTGAGACAAATATATTATGTTTATCTCAAAAAAGGTCCCAAACCTAAACTTTGCCATCTTGTATTTTTCACTTGCATCTAGATAAACACCAGTAAGAAAATGTAGATCAGGACCTACCAGTAAATTAAATGACCTCGTCTTAGTATATAAGGTTATCTCTTTGAATGTATTTCCTGTCTTCTCTCAGATTACAGTGTTACCAAAGCAATATTAGGGGACTTCCCTGGTGATCCAGTCGTTTAGACTCCACGCTTCCACTGCAGGGAGCCACGGGTTCAACCCCAGGTCAGGAAACTAAGATCCCACATGCCACACGGCATGGCCGAAAAACAACAACAACAACAACAATATTAGCCTCCAGTTAGTAAGAGGTAAACACTTTCATCTCATCTCTAAGTCGCAAAACAGCCTTGACAAGAAACTCATTGTTTCTCCCATTTTACGTATAGAAAACTGGGGTGCAAAGAGACCAATTACATTTCCCAAGGCTACATGGGTGGTAAGTGACAGAACTCGTATTCAAACCTGATTGCCTCTGGCTCTGAAGTCTGTGTTCTCTTCCACGCTATCACTCTGCCTCAAAATCACAGATATAAAATTACATTTTAGCCACCGATTTTACGCATCCCCACTTTTCACACCAGCATTATCCAAAACCAATGAGCAACACAATTGATTTATGATTCTTACTTCCTCTTTTCCCTACCAACCCTCTGGTATAATCGATTATGAGAAATGAATAGGCCCACAGGTTAGCAGCAAAAAAATGAGAGTGACTAGGGCGTAGATTAGCCAATCTTAGATAATTCAATATTGAGCCTACACCACAAAACAGAGGCCTGTGTCTGTATCTCTTGGCTTTTGTATCACTCCACCCTATCCCACTTCCACCTCCCTTCCCCAGTACACACACACCATGTATTCCTCTCATAATTTTCCGAAGTAGAACACCTTTCAGTCATTCAGTTTTGCACTTCTTAAAAATACTCTGGGGCTTCCCTGGTGGCGCAGTGGTGGAGAGTCCACCTGCCGATGCAGGGGTCATGGGTTCGTGCCCCGGCTCGGGAAGTTCCCACATGCCGCAGAGCGGCTAGGCCTGCACGTCCGGAGCTTGTGCTCCGCAACGGGAGAGGCCACAACAGTGAGAGGCCTGCATACCGCAAAAAAAAAAAAAAAAAATACTCTGCTTAAAGCAGTTCTAAGACGGAAGTTTGTAGCAATACAATCCTACCTTAAGAAACAAGAAACATCTCAAATCAACAACCTAACCTTACACCTAAAGCAATTAGAGAAAGAAGAACAAACAAAACCCCAAAGTTAGCAGACAGAAAGAAATCATAAAGATCAGATCAGAAATAAATGAAAAACAAATGAAGGAAACGATAGCAAAGATCAATAAAACTAAAAGCTGGTTCTTTGAGAAGATAAACAAAATTGATAAACCATTATCCAGACTCATCAAGAAAAAAAGGGAGAAGACTCAAATCAATAGAATTAGAAATGAAAAAGGAGAAGTAACAACTGACACTGCAGGAATACAAAGGATCATGAGAGATTACTACAAGCAAGTATATGCCAATGAAATGGACAACCTGGAAGAACTGGACAAATTCTAAGAAACGCACAACCTTCTGAGACTGAACCAAGAAGAAATAGAAAATATGAACAGACCAATCACAAGCACTGAAATTGAAACTGTGATTAAAAATCTTCCAGTAAACAAAAGTCCAGGACCAGATGTCTTTACAGGTGAATTCTATCAAACATTTAGAGAAGAGCTAACACCTAACCTTCTCAAACTCTTCCAAAATATAGCAGAGGGAGGAACACTCCCAAACTCATTCTACGAGGCCACTGTCACCCTGATACCAAAACCAGACAAAGATGTCACAAAGTAAGAAAACTACAGGCCAATATCACTGATGAACATAGATGCAAAAATTCTCAACAAAATACTAGCAAACAGAATCCAACAGCACATTAAAAGGATCATACACCATGATCAAGTGGGGTTTAACCCAGGAATGAAGGATTCTTCAATATACGCAAATCAATGTGATACACCATATTAACAAATTGAAGGAGAAAAACCATATGATCATCTCAATAGATGCAGAGAAAGCTTTCGACAAAATTCAACACCCATTTCTGATAAAAACCCTGCAGAAAGTAGGCACAGAGGGAACTTTCCTCAACATAATAAAGACCATATATGACAAACCCACAGCCAACATCGTCCTCTATGGTGAAAAACTGAAAGCATTTCCACTAAGATCAGGAACAAGACAAGGTTGCCCACTCTCACCACTCTTATTCAACCTAGTTTTGGAAGTTTTAGCCACAACAATCAGAGAAGAAAAGGAAATAAAAGGAATCCAAATCGGAAAAGAAGAAGTAAAGCTGTCACTGTTTGCAGATGGCATGATACTATACATAGAGAATCCTAAAGATGCTACCAGAAAACTACTAGAGCTAATCAATGAATGTGGTAAAGTAGCAGGATACAAAATTAATGCACAGAAATCTCTGGCATTCCTATACACTAATGATGAAAAATCTGAAAGTGAAATTAAGAAAACACTCCCATTTACCATTGCAACAAAAAGAATAAAATATCTAGGAATAAACCTACCTAACGAGACTAAAGGCCTGTATGCAGAAAATTACAAGACACTGATGAAAGAAATTAAAGATGATACAAATAGATGGAGAGATATACCAAGTTCTTGGATTGGAAGAATCAACAGTGTGAAAGTGACTCTACTACCCAAAGCAATCTACAGATTCAGTGCAATCCCTATCAAACTACCACTGGCATTTTTCACAAAACTAGAACCAAAAATTTCACAATTTGTATGGAAACACAAAAGATCCCGAATAGCCAAAGCAATCTTGAGAAAGAAAAACGGAGCTGGAGGAATCAGGCTCCCTGACTTCAGACTATACTACAAAGCTACAGTAATGAAGACAGTATGGTACTGGCACAAAAACAAACATATAGATCAATGGAACAGGATAGGAGGCCCAGAGATAAACCCACGCACATATGGTCACCTTATCTTTGATAAAGGAGGCAAGAATATACAATGGAGAAAAGACAGCCTCCTCGATAAGTGTTGCTGGGAAAACTGGACAGCTACATGTAAAAGAATGAAATTAGAACACTCCCTAACACCATACACAAAAGTAAACTCAAAATGGATTAAAGACCTAAATGTAAGGCCAGACACTGTCAAACTCTCAGAGGAAAACATAGGCAGAACACTCTGACATAAATCACAGCAAGATCCTTTTTGACCCACCTCCTAGAGAAATGGAAATAAAAACAAAAATAAACAAATGGGACTTAATGAAACTTAAAAACGTTTGCACAGCAAAGGAAACCATAAACAAGACGAAAAGACAACCTTCAGAATGGGAGAAAATATATGCAGATGAAGCACCTGACAAAGGATTAATCTCCAAAATTTACAAGCAGCTTATGCAGCTCAATATCAAAAAAATAAACAACTCAATCCAAAAATGGGCAGAAGACCTAAATAGACATTTCTCCAAAGACAGATTGCCAACAAACACATGAAAAGATGCTCAACATCACTACTCATTAGAGAAATGCAAATCAAAACTACAATGAGGTAACACCTCACACTGGTCGGCATGGCCATCATCAAAAAATCTACAAACAATAAATGCTGGAGAGGGTGTGGAGAAAAGGAAACCCTCTTGCACTGTTGGTCGGAATGTAAACTGATACAGCCACTATGGAGAACAGTATGGAGGTTCCTTAAAAAACTAAAAACAGAACTGCCATACGACCCAGCAATCCCAATACTGGGTATACACCCTGAGAAAACCATAATTCAAAAAGATTCATGTACCACAATGTTCATTGCAGCTCTGTTTACAATAGCCAGGACATGGAAGCAACTTAAGTGTCCATCGACAGATGAATGGATAAAGAAGATGTGGCACATATATACAATGGAATATTAGCCATAAAAAGAAACGAAATTGAGTTATTTGTAGTGAGGTGGATGGACCTAAAGTCTGTCATACAGAGTGAAGTAAGTCAGAAAGAGAAAAACAAATCCTGTATGCTAACACATATATATGGAATCTAAAAAGGAAAGAAAAAAATGGTCATGAAGAACCTAGGGGCAAGACAGGAATAAAGACGCAGACCTACTAGAGAATGG